TGAACTGGCATCCTGCAAGGACTTGGCATTCATAAGCGAGCGCGAAACACTTGGCGCAATATGATCCAGTATGGTAGATTATAAGGCCTCTTTCAAAGGCCTCTTACCTAGATAAACGACATTCACACAATGACTCCAATTTCTTGATCTGGCTCGTGTTGAGAGTATCACTTCTAACATTACAAATATCTATTATCTGCAAACAATAAGAGAGAATTAGAGCCTAGTTTTTACTTGCTAATTTAAAGTCTAACGGCAGATATTCAGAATCAAGCATCAATACGTCTTTAAAATTTAATATTTGCAAAGTTATTTATTTCTATTATATTGTTTTATATTTTCTAATGTGTTACCAATACTTTCTCATAGTACTAATACTTTCTAACTCGCTAAATATCGTCGATCATAAAACATGTTACAAGAAAATAGCAACATTGCAGATACCTTCTTAATCCCTATAACGTGCGCCACTATATGTTCTATGGATTCTACTGGCTCTGATATGCCTTCGCTCTCGAATCGGCGACTCCATTGATCGAGAACACTACCAATTGTACATTCACGTGCGTCCGAAACAAACAAACGTTGCTCTGGATGCTTCAACGTTACATTGAGATTGTTATTTGCCAAATATCGCAGGCAGGCGAATATAGCCGGTTTATTGCGAGTAGTACGTGTCCTTAAGATGTTACGACACCACATGATTAAAAGCTGTGAAATACAGATGCAAGATCAATCGGTTACTGACACGTGGATTCGATCAATTACTGACGCTAGGCGATCAGCTGATAGACTGTGAGAAAGTTGAAATTTGTGTATACATATATCTTCACTTGTGCTATATGCATGTATATTATGTATGTATGTATGCACATATATAGAAACTGCTGCCAGCTGGCGGAATGTTGAAGGAATATTGAATATTTATCGACAAGAATTGAAAAAATTTGAAAGAACGTCGAAGCAATTAAATACTCCGAATACAGAAATTCAATCAAAATAATGTAAACTATTCTCCCCACATAAATATACATTATAGGTATAAAATAGTATTTTTACAGTAATATTAACGATGTAAAAAACAATTCTATAAATCATATCACTGTATCTATTAAAGCTATACAAGTAATCCAATTCTTCAATCAAGCGAGTCATCATGCAACTACTCTGGTTCTTCAATCCGACCGATGGTGAAATCACTCTCTATGTGTACGGAAACTCAGAAAGATGCGGAGTCAAAGACCTAGGCCGCTTTAGAAGATGCCGCTAAAGCCGCGCTCCGCCGGTGGATCGAAAGGTCTTAAAAGCCGCATACACGCATGCGCCGACGTTGGAGTAGCTGTCTGGAAAAGAAGGGTGCTGGCTAACAGGCCGTTGTCTGGCCGAAGGCGCTGGCAGTCGCCACCGGCCCCGCTCCCAATTCATGACTGCCATGACAGTCCTGCCGTGTCGCGGCGAGTACGAGACCGAGTCGTGGTTAAACGCCGTTTAAAGAGCGCCGCTCTGTCGAACTTGTTCCCTCCCCGACTGATGCACGTACTCGCGTTGCAGCGCGTTGCACCGCCGCAGGAGGTCAACCCGAGATCTGACCTCGGCTGGGCCGTGAAGCTCTCGCGCGCCTCGTCTATCAGCCCGTTTGCCAGGCGAAGTCTACCTGGGTACGTTGATCAGCGAGAATCTCGTATACGATCGTAGCGCGGGCGCGCGATCCTACGCGAGCACGCGTCGTATAGTGGCTCGTGCGAATGGCGGGTGTTGTGGTGACGCGAGTCTCATGCCGCATGCACGGAGCTCCGATCCCGTTCGCTGTCAGTTACGGAGTACCCGCGTAGGATACGCGTTTTAAACAACGTATATACGAAGCAGCTTCCGTTCTCCACCTGGGTCGATCGATGCAGGGTGTCTACCGAACTACCCCGTAGATAAAGCGCCTTCGCGCTAGATTAGAACCAGCCGCATAGCTATGCTCAAGAAGACGAGAGCACCGCACGCGCTAGTAACGAAGTGCATCGATCGCGAGGTGGTCGAGAGACATTCCTAGCGGCTCGCTGAAAAGGTCCCGTGCTTCGGAAGATTCGCCGATGTAGCCTTCATCGGAAGTTTCTCCAGAGCGAAGCGCCGTTTAAGCCTTCAGATATACATTGGATACTTTTGTTATGATTACAGCGATACGATTGAGATGACTTTAAATGATCCGTTGGAAGGATCCAAATCTGTTTTTCTTTTCGCGCAAAATTTGCCGTTAAGGCGAAGACAGTAAAGCTCCGTTTGCGCTTTGCGGCGTGCCACTCGGTTTTACGTATATGTATATATACGAGAATCGGAGCAAATCGGGGCATCGATCGCGCCGTCGGAATTTTCGGAGCGGTTCGCCGAGGCGACACGTCGCGTGCTTCGAAAAAATTCGCCGGCTTCGTGTAATCGATCGGCACGCCTGTAGATTCGCCGGCGTAGCCCGAATGGGGATTTTCCGTGCCGCCCTTGAACTGTGAGAAACGCGGAATAAGGTGTGGTGAAAATCGAACGTGGTGTGTCGTTACTCACGAATAACGCCGTTACTGTGAACGGTGACGCGCGAGAATAGCGAGTATATACGCGAGATACGTATTACGTTCTTCGTAATAGACATTTTTTTTTATCACAGATCTGTCATTCATTTCCTCGCGAGCGTGATAGTTCAATGATGTAAGATCAACGTTTGCGTAATGCACTTCCGCGTCGGGCCGATTACATTTAAATTATCTTCTCTCTGGCCGGCGTATATGCACGAGAAATTACACGAACGATACAATTAAAGTCGTCTAGAATGCGGTTTCATTAGCAGCGGTTAATTGTCGCCTTTCTAATTTTCTACGCTCCCGTAGATCTCAGGCCGTAGTTGTGGCTTCTTAATTGTCTTTCGCGAGGCCATGTAAATAAACGAGGAACGGGGGTGCAAATGATGTGCTAAAAGCTAGATGCATCGCGTTTCGCTATTGCGTTTGGGAAAAAAAGAAATTGTACCCTCCTGTAATTGAATCCTAAATCAAACGAGTGATCGCGCGCGTTTCCCTCGTCGGTTCAATTTTCACGCAATAAAGAACGCGCGTGTCGATAATCGTCGAAGTAATCGGCTCGATAATACACAGCTTCGGCTACTTTCTTTATTTCTGCTGACTACGCGGCGGCATCACGCGATGAGAACGCCAGGGGAGCGCATTCGCGCGTTTCGCGCGAGCTCGGTATAACGCCTCAGGAAAGAAAGAGGATAAAAAAAAAGCCTGTTCGCTTCTCGCGCGGTGAGTCGACCGAACGCGTGCACCGAACAACGGTTGCGTTATCGTCGCTTCTTTTGCCGTCGCTCCGTTTCCGCATAGCTCGCGGTACCGAATCGCATGCCGGAAGGAAAGTCCGGCCATGGAGAAGCGTTTCGGTTCACGCCCTTGCGTATACGCCGCGCACCATATATATCCGGACGACCTCCAGTCCAAAATTGACGTTAATCGGAGGAATCAGACAACACGTCGCGTCGAGGATACTCCCGGAAGTGTGTCATCTACAAATTCACTCGCTTTACTCTGCGTCGAGCGCGGAAGCGAACGTTGTACCGCGCAATTCCAATCTCGATCGCGATAGATCAAACTGGGATTCTGTAATTTTTAACGTGATTTTTGCGTAAATACCATATACGATAAAAAAAAAAAAAAACTACGACGACATAACGATAATATTGATATTGTCATATTGTCTTTACGAAGATTTTTTCATCTGTAGATATCACATAATATCTGTATGTACAATGATAATATAACAATGTCGTAATAGTTTATGAGTCACAGAAATCCTATACTGTAATTGACATCTCACCACTGAAAAAAAGTCTGATAATAACTATCAAACGTTATTAGAGCAAAAGACTAATTTTACTTTTTTAAATTATTTACTCTCTACATCTTTTAGAGTAAAATTTTTTTGGAGTTTTTCATTCTGGAATAAGAGTAGTAGAGTTTTATTTTTTAAAACTAAGAGTTCACTCCTAGAGTGGAGTGAGATTCTTTCCAAAGGAATAAAATCTCATTTGTTCTTTCAGAAAAAACTTTATTCCTTGAAGTAACTTTCTCTCAAAAGAGTGAAATCTTACTCCAAAAGAATGAAATCTCACTTCTAAATAATGAAAATTTGCCTCTTGTTCAAGAGAGAAAATTCTTTCACTCTTTTTTTCAAGACTGATTCAATTTTCAATCTTTTCTGGAGTGAAATATATTTATACTGCAAAAGATTTAGAAAGTATATAGCAAGTATTATCAAACATGATAATATAACCAACCGTTTGGTAATAAATGCAAAATATTTAGAAAGATCAAATTTTTTTTATTATACGAACTTTTATTATACCAAACTTTGAAAATTATTTCATTCAACGTTTGGTAGCAGATTCTTCATTCGGTATGTGTGCAGTGAAAATCTCCGTTCTTATATACATATTAAATCGCCCGTTAAATACGCATTCATTAGCCATGCACTTTGCGAGTACAATTAACGTTGTTTTTTTTTCTGGATGAATTTCTAGGGGACGATTCCCGAGGGAAACTCGATGAATGCCGCTCCATCGCCGGTCGATAGAGTGCACCGGTGCGCTGTGGGGCGAGCCGGGGCATTGGGAGAACCGTCCTCGGACAAACGACACGGCCTACTCCGAAACGAATTGTGACAGACAGCCGGTTTTCGAGTCGTCGTGAGTGCCGGGCATCGCGACGGCGGTGACGAAGCGATGCGCGCGACTCCGCGTGTCTCGCACGGCCAATAGCGCCGATCACGCGCGCGAGTCGCGGCAAGAGTTCATTTATTTTGACGAACGGTGCTACGTGATCACGATACATATACATATCACATAACACACACACACATATATGCCACGAGGTGCGAGAAATCAAGACTGTCCGCGATCGTGTCACGTGGGGCTAATCGAGCAATCGAGAAACGAGATATCGTATGTTGTCTCTTTCTCGCGTTCGCGTTCTCGGGACGTTTAGCGAGTGAAGAAGATGTTTAACTTTATGAAGAAGGCCGCGGAGAAGGACGATAAGGAGAAGCGGAAGCGCGAAAAGAAGGAACGGAAGGATGTCAAGAAGCGCGATCGCAGCAGCATGTCCGCGGAGGAGCTTCTGCGATTGGACGAGGTAAATGCAAGAACGTATCGCAGAGGAACTCTCATTAAGAATTACTTCCGCTTTGCTGTGGCTCTTTTCAGTTTTCCTGCAAATCGCTCAACTATAACAGATTATTATAATCTATATCACTTATTTTATTATTTATCTTAACTGCGTAAGCCTTGCCGGTCGTTTAATTTTTTTTATATTAAACTTGTGACGTATGCGCGATTGGTTATCGCATCTCACAATGACAAGATGTGTGTACATTGTACAGCTTACGAATTTACACGAGTTGCACGAAGTTACCGATATCTTGTTCGGATTACAAATCATATCGACATAAACAAAGTTATCAATATCACGAAGTGATAAAATTCTCCATTGGCTTTCGTCAATTGATATCATTGTAATAAACTGTGCATTTAAAAAACGTGTGTAAATCGTGATGACAATATGGAGAACTTAATCGGTAGTAAGAGAATTTTTAGATAGAAATAAAGAGCGTAGATATGCGTTATAAGATTTCGTCTTGAGAAAAGCTTCTTTTCTTTAGATCAGTATCATCGCCAGCCGGATGTGGTTTCTCGCGATAAGAAGTGTTGGTCGCATATTTGCACATTAACGAAAAAAAAAAAAAAATTGCAAATTTGTTCTGCGACATGGACGATACGTCGTTACAATCGCATCATTCAAAGAATAAAAGAAATCTCTTAAGAAAATTCATAGGACTCTGTATGGTAGATATTTTCGGCGGTACTTGCTTGAACGGGCCCTCGAAAACGTCATTTTTTGGCGCTGTGTTGTAGGTCCGTAGATCACTGAAAATTCCCGGCCGTCGGAAGGAGAAGGAAAAATTACCGAGTGGCATCACCGCGGATTACAGCGCGTCGTTTTTCGCACATCTGGACCGCGATCTTCTAGATGCCTCGCAGAACGTAGGTCCAGGTGCGACGTTTAGTGCCGGTGCCAGCAGTTGGGCCACCAGAACACCCGACGGTTTGATGCAGAGTGACTCGTCGGAGGCGTCTCTCACCTCTCTGACGACGACCACGACTACATCGTCGACGACGACGAGTCACGCCGGCGGTCAAGCCGGCGGCAAATGCCTACCGCCGTTACCGCCGAAACCGCCCAAGCGAGGAATCCTCAAAGGGCCCAGATTGACTGTCAACAACTGCACCACGAACGTTCTTTCGGAAGAGAACACGTTGCAGAATGGTACCGAAACTAGTTACCAGGAAGCCAGTAATCTACTGGTGAGAAACACTCTTCAGAACGAGGTGATTACTTATCAAAACGTACCGGCGCATCTCAACAGCGTTCTGAACAAGGACGACTGCAGTGAAGAGGAAACGATGTGTCAAACCGCGTGGCACATCGTGCAACAACAAACGATTCAGCAACAATACCAGCAACAACAGCAGCAACATCAAATCGACGCCAAGTTGCTTCAGGTTAGATAACGCTCCGCTTTCTCTTCCGCGCATCGACCGTGGCGAAACCCAATTATTAGGATCATTTCCGAAACGTGTAACGAGATGCCAAGTGATGGTTTGTTTGATATGATGTGACATTGAAAGAAAATCCCGTGAAACAAACCAGGACGAATAGTATCTTTTGCAATTTTTGCCGAGTGATCATATATTATATTTTCCGTAAATATTTTCATAAAGAAATTTTTTAATTAAAATTTTATATAAATGTAAATAATTTTTATTAATTTTTTATTCTAAGTAATGAATATGTTACAGATATTTCATGATTCAAGATTCAACTTTGTCTCATATCATGAATCGTAAATCAATAATAAATATAACAGGCAATAAATGTTTCGACACGTAATTGAAGTCCATTGAACTCTATTACATTCAGGTTGTCACCAGTGCTAGTCCATCCGCGGATTCCTTGACCGACACGACAAACTCGAGTTTCGCAACGCCACCGTTCAGCCTATCGCCCGTTGGTGAGTCCCAGGGTTTCTCGAGGTGGCGGTCGTCGGTCTCCTTCGAAGAACAGGGAATCGAACTGCAACTGCCAGAGATCGTGCCGCTCGAGTTACCTGAGCCTAGGGAACTCACCATCCAGAGGCAACCTCCACCGCGAAATGATTTTGGCTTCTCGCTCCGTCGCGCTGTGATCGTCGAGCGAATGGCAAACGGCGTCACGCAGATGCGACCAGTGATTTTCGCCGAACCTGGTGCTCTGGTGCAGCACAACAATGACACGGGTCTATTGCCCGGTGACAGACTGATCGAGGTCAATGGGATCAACGTGGATGACAAGTCGCGTGAGGAGATCATCGATCTCATCAAGAGCTCTGCCAGCAGTGTCACCGTAAAGGTAACCCTTAGATTAATAATTACAGTGATTTCAAACAAATACTCGCACGCATTTTTTCAAACAATTTTGAAGAAAGAAAAGTACGAAATTACTATAATACAAATTAATAGTTAGAAACGTCTTGCATTTTTTTTGTACACTCATCTTTTTCGTGTCTAAAAACTGATTTTATAGGGTGTATTTTTCAAGAGTACATTTATTTACCTAAATTCTATACTTGTGTTCTTGTATATACATATATAACGTTCTCATCGCGTGATTGATGTCTTCGTAACTCATACAGATTGAATGATGAGAAATCGAGAAGTCGGAGCGTATCTTGAATATTGCGCAAGCGATATACTCTCTATGCCTTGTATCTTTTCTCTTCTATAGACTATACCGGTCATGTCCTTTTGTACTCCGGAGTGAACGAACCTTTCTCTCGTTGAACGCGAGACAAGCTTATTAGCATAAATCCGATGGTATTTACTGGAAAGCAGTCTTTAATAATTGAACGCGGCGAGACATAGCGTTGTAACGACACAGCGCTATAACGACCTTATGTTAGATTATCAGTTGTCAACGATTAGCTTATCGTTCATTTTGTTAACTACTTATCGAGTTCGTCACGATTGACCTTGAGCTCTTTAAAAATATCATTAAAAAATGGGTATAAATGTTGTTCGCTATCGTACAGGAAAATTCACATCGAACGTGGTGAAAGGCATCGAGGAATCTTAGGTTCTTCAGAGGTCATAGAAAGGGGTCGGTCGAGTGTCGTTCCGTAGACCTTTATTACATCGCAACAGCGAAATGTCCTGCATTCTAATCAATAAAAACAATTATTATCACGTATTTTTTTTTTTCGTTTTAATTTGAAACATCATGAGAAAATTAAACGTCCGGCTGAATAAAATATCTTTATTTCTTAGTAATTGTAAGATCGAAAGTTTGTAATGCCGTATTTTTTATTCGGATAGGCAATGGTTGCATTCAGCAGGAAAACTTTGCGATTATATTTTACTTTTTAATATAATTTGTGCCTAGTCCTGAGTTGTTTACTAAATCTATATATATATAAATGTATAAGTTAATTATATTATTAAGAAATCTTACAATAATCGAAAAGCTGTTTTTTCCGCTGAGTACAGCCATCAATTATACGACGTTAAATAGCAAATGTTACAAGAACTACCATTATTTTCATTGATTTGTCCGACCACTCGTCGCATCGTGTCGCTTATCCTTATTTTAAACGAGAATGAATGTGACGCAGCCCATGAACGCACAAAAGGTGCGGGCGAGCTCTTGGTAGGACAAATGATTGCGGTGCGATGTCGGCCGGTTCATTGCCACTGCTGGCAACAAATATAGCGGGATCGTGAGTCACGGTCCCCGCTAATAAAACTGTACTCGAGACACGAGGGACGGTCGTGTGAAAATAGCAGGCTTACCGAGAATCCGATCTTCTTCCATCGTCACCATCGAGCAAATCGACCACCATGAGCGCGTGCGCCTCATAAAGAGGGGCCAACTTCTCTCGCGGGCCCGGGCTCTCGGATCTGGAGAACGGATATAAAAGTAAAAAAGGGGTTTCAGGGGCGGGAGAAGATGCCCAAGCGTGTCTGACCTTGCCCCGTAGCCACGGAATGCTAAAAATGCCGCCGCGTTCCCGCGCGGCCAGAAACGAAATGTGTAATTCCGTCCGATTGTGCATCGTTCTACCTTTCACTGCTTCCTCACGCGCGCAGAATGCAATCTCCGGAGTGGATTGAACGGCCAAATTCGGGGATTTTATGCGTCTACGCGCGTCAGAAAACATCCAAAGGATCGATGAATACGCGACGCGCGCGTTTCCGCATATTTAACTGTACCATGGCACGATGGAGACGTGTTTCTTTGAAGAACGATGACGAAACGTTCTCCTCGGAGAAAATAGAAGTGCCTACGATTGCGTGCATAGGGAAGCGAATAATATCGTTATGCGTGGATGTACGATCGAGTTTATTTATCTAAGAATTAAGACACTTAAGCACCTCGGAGCGCAACCATTTCCAGAATCCAAACATGTAAATATTCGGAAATGCTGGGCGCGTAAGAGAGGACGGGAGAAAGGAAATGATCGTAAAGGCGAGAAAGAGATACGCAGAGGGGGAAAAACCGGATGTAATTCACAAATCGAGCGTATTATACGCTACATACAGGGTGTGTCGAAATTTGTATTACCTTTTCCCTTCAGGGAAGAATCTCTCGGGATTGCATTTATTCTTTTCACAATTTTAACCCGCGCGGGGCCCCGATATATGTTTCTCAATAAACCTATATCTATCAAAACTGAAAATATCGCGCGCAGCCATCCTGGCGTATCAGAGCGTGAAGATACCTGCTTTAATGCGCAATTCTCATTTATCATCGTGATAACTCCGCGAGGAACTGAATGGTCGACGGTGTAAAAGCGGAAAATACCGGCAGGGAAGGCTGCATCTACCGGGTGTTGTTGGTCCCCAATGCACATGCAGTACCTATGTGAGCCTGTGAAAGACCCGGTCCTTGCTCCCCCCTTTTCTCTCCTCTCTCTCTGTTGGCGGCATGGCAGTCGCGTCGTCAGAAGGAACGTGACGTGATTTACATACTTATGTATAGGTAACGCGCCGCGCGGCAGGCCCCTCTCGGTCAACATCCTGCTTCCTGTTCTCTCTGTGTTGCACGAGCTCGGCCTCGTGCGCGTGAGTCGTGTGTGTATGCACGCGTGCCCCGTTATACACGTCCGATGGACAATGTGTGTGCATATCGGACATGCAGACACGTCGATAACAGGCGGAGCCATCTGTAACGGTGATTAATCGAGATTAGATGAACGACGAAAGATACCGGACAATATTCTATACGTTCGATATTACACTTTATTTTTTAAACTCCGATATAATGTGATAGAATCCTGATTTTTTCCTCGAGAAAGTTGAGATCTTTAAAAGAAGTCCTTTACAGAAAGATATCAACTTTGCGTTTTTCTTACATGACAATTAATAATATCGTTTTTATTTCTATGAAAATCGATGAAAGTTCGACGTTACTTTCCAAAAAATTTCATTACGAAATTTCAACACATTATAATCTAGAGACATGTGAAGAATTTTTATCCATATCACTTTGAAATGTTTGTCGCTTTATTTATCGTATATGGATATTCATGACGTGACTATTCGTAAACGAAACATAAATGAATTTTGCCGCAATCACCGGCACGCTCAAGGGCGTGCTCGCGTGATGCATACGCATTACAATATTAACGTGTCGATTTCGTTGCAGGTGCAGCCAGTCGCCGAGCTATCGGAATTATCGAGACGCGGTTGTGACGGACGTCAAGTTGAATTGGCACCTGCAAATATCCGCAGCGGCACGCTTCGCCGGTCCGGCAGTTTGCGGTTTCATCAAAATATAGTAAGCCTATTGCCGTTTGCCGTCGATTCAACGTATAAAGCTTGATTTATATAAGTCAAGTTCGCTGAGAAAACTTTGCGAAAGAAATATAAGCAGAGGAATTTAGAACATCTTTTAAACCTTTGACGATCGTCAAAGTTAAATTATTCATTTACATCTTCAAGTTTCTCTAGCTTGTGCCATGTTCATATTTTTTTTTTTATATTTCAACGTACAATATATTATAACTTAATAGTTTGAATAATTTCTATGATACATCATGTGTGAAAAGAGAGCCGAAGAATAAAGAGGGCAGAAGTAATGAGATAAAACGCGCGCAATCGACTTAGCGAAGGGTACGCGGAGAAATATAAAGATGACGCACAAAGAGGGCACGAAATTGCAACGGAATGCGACAGGGCTGTATAGCGTGATGCGGCAGCGAGGAAAGAGGAAGACAATAGTAAAGAGACGCTCACTTTCCACCCACATTCCCTAGAGCGGCGTAGTGGCATAGCAATCGCATAACGGTACATCTCTACTGACTGCCTCGTACCGTAATACCTCGTTTCCGCCGAACTTCGAGCTATAATCTAAACTACGGGCGCAGCCCGTTACAAGAAACTGCCAGCTTTTCACGGCGGCGCTTGGGCACATTTTAAATATCCAGAGTGCATCGTGCAAATTAAGCCTCAGAAAAATACAAATATTACCCACGAAAAGAAAGAATCATCTTTTTCCAGTGAATTTTTGAAGAGTGACAGATATCTAAAGCCGTCACGCTAGGGATTGCGCGATCGTCAATCACAATCGCGCAATCGCTAGGGTGATTACGGCTTAACACTATATATGCAAATTTCCCGAATGCGGTGAACAATTCGCGTTTTACCGCGAAAGCTGAAACTACAGTCATTATAAACGAGACAACAATTGCATAGATCACAGTGAGTAGTATTAAAGCGAGATACACATTGATCCAGGATTGACATTCTGAGGAAAAATGAACACGAGTGTCAGGCATTATTCCCGCACATGTTCTCTTTCATTCCGCGGCTTCTCTAATAGTCGAGCTTGCAGGCTTTCGAGAAGCTGCCTTCATTAAATTAAATCGTCACGCGACGTAAAACGCGCATTCCTACTCGCAACGAGATCGAAGCGCCGTTGTAATTGAACACGCCAAGAACGAGCGGGATCGCATCCGCATTTCTGAATTCATCGATAAACGTGAAACGCAAATTGCATTGTACATATATATATATGTCAAAACGTATATTAACTATATTTTCACACGATATATTCGTGGGATAACAGGATTCGTTGTTCAAGCCCCCGGCGACAGTTTGATGATATTCTATTTTAATCTCAAAGTGGAATGTGAAGAAATATCTATGGACGATGTTCATAATCTGTTTTAAGACCGTCTTAAATAGTGTCTTAAGATGCGAATGCAGTCCTCTAATTGGCTTATGACAGCTTAAGAGACTGTACTTAAGACATTCTCAAATATATAAAAATTAACTATGAATACACCGGCCTATATTGTACTTACAGTAAACGCAGAATATTGGTTTACTTTGGTAGAGAACTCTCTAATTGTCGCCTTTATTAATTCAGTTGTTTAAGCTTTGCTGTCAATCTCGCTGTAATAGAAAATCAGATCTCCACCGCAGTCTCGCTTAAACTGTAAAACAGATATAATTGAAAAATAACGCAATTGTCTTGGGAATAAAACGAACACGATTATCGTGAACACGGGCGTCGCTGCGCAATTTGTACACACGTCGGATGCGAGCAACGACGTGTCGTAATTGGCAATTGGCTCTAACAAAGTGCGACTTACGTTGAAATGCACAGCAGAACGAGTACGATATTTACTGGCGGTCGATAAAGCCGACACTGCAGCGGCATAGCAAAGAACGTGCTGCCGACGTGTCGTTGTGGAGAACAGCACAATACTTTTCCTACTTTTCAATAAGATCCCTCTTCTCAAAACTTTCTTGCGTATACATTGAATAAACAATTTTCATTCATTAAATGTTTTATAAAAATCCACACCTTTTAATCTGACGAGATAGATACTTGACTTATATTATTTTTATATTGAATTATTAAATTACAAGGAAAGAGATTAGAAAAATATATTTTGAAAAAAAGTTTTCTTAGAACTTTAATTAAAAGTTAAATTTAAGGATTAGACACTCAAAGAAAGAATTTTTTGTAATACATTTAAAAAAATGTATTAAAGTTTAATTTTTCAATATTCGTTGAATAGTATTAGTTGAATATTTACTAAGAATGTAGACATATTTATGTGGATATAAAAATCATTAATTTAATTTAATTTCAATTTGTTAATTTATCAAATATTTATTTACCGTAGCAAAAACCATAACAAAAAAATGTTAAATTAGTACTATTCAAATAATTACTTATTAAAATTTATTACATTTTTTCAGTGACAATTGTATAAGTTACATATGTAGAATATATATTCTACATATGTAACTTATACAGTTGTTACTGAAAAAAATGTAATAAATTTTAATAAGTAATTAAAATTTATCGAAAATCTAACATCTAAAATCGAACATTCTTTTATAATTATTGCAACTAAATTCGAAAAGTTATATTTGGATTGCATATTGCTATGTACATTAATTCTACATGTAAAACTACTTGTATAGTTGTCATTATACAGTTGCTACTACTATGTCTTTTTCTCTGAATGTAAAATTTTCTAAACGTCCCTTGACGTTCGTTATTTCGGTGTCGCGAACTGTATTTCCGAGATCAACGAGAGAACAGTCCTCCGTGGATATTAAAAGGCTAAAAGTGAAAAAAATCACAGAGACCGACAATCTCGCGATCTTGCTAATCAAAGAACTGGCGAATGCCGCCAAACTCGGATCAGCGCGCAGCTACAAAGTACGAAGTTTTGCTTGGGGTGGTGCACGATTTGCAACGTCCTCGCGTAGCTCACCGCCTCTCTCTCACGGTGCGACATGACGGCTCGCTCGTTCGCGAGCGTATCAGCTACGTAAATGTCAAATTACGTAATTAGAATTACATGTTACGCGCTACGTAGTGAGTAATTACGCCGTTACCGGCGCAACACTATTATTACGCCCTCGAGGAAGGTACTGGGTATACCCGTGATAACATCGCGCCGATCGCCAGAGGATCCCCACCGCACCATGCCGGTCGCTCGTCGCGATATATGTAGGCCAATAATCGTATCTCCGCTGTGTATAAGAACGCGAGCAGGATCCTTTTTCCATCCGGAAAATCACACACCCGCCGCAATCGTTATCCTCGTCGGATTCGTTAAAAGACATAGGGTAAACCCGGTATATACGCCGCACCTATCGAAAACTTAATTTATCAATTATTATTTACTATGTTTAAAGCAAATTAATTATACAAATAAAAACTTTGTATCATTTACTACTGTAAAAAAAATATTAGAAATCCAAAATAATCTATTTTGATAATATGGCCACTCGTATATAATTCATAAGAAAATCACAAATAATCTATAAATAAGATGTAAAATGACGACGTAACTTGCATTGTTTATTAATATATGACAATTTTTATTGTTCAGAATGAAAATTGGAATACAAATAGGACTTAATACAAGTTTTTTAAATAGCTTCAAATCTTTGAAAATAATCTTTAAACTAATCGTTTAAGATTTATCAACATTTATGCATTAATGCAATGTATAATTGTTAGAATTAACAAAAACTTCTTAAATAGAGCGTCTGTGCTGCGGCACAGCATCCCGCTCGCTAAAAATGCCGTATATCCCAAATAAATGGGATATATATGACAACTAATTAAACAAACAATACAGGAGCAAAGCACTTGTATTTTGCTATACAACATGCTTTACTATTCCTCTACACATATGTATTGCAAAATAACCACTAAGTCTTTTACACGCTCTATAATAATCATTTTATGTAGATTATAAATTATGATGGCACTACTTATTACAGTAAAAAATCGATTTAACTCGCAATAATTTCATTAATATTAACAGTAAAGAACTGAAATCATAACATAATACTAATATACAATAAAGGCATGTAACAAAGTTATTGACGGAAAATTATCCCCACTCCTTCTATTTTTTCTGACTTCTGCGGCGCATTTCCTGACGCGGCGTATATACCGGGCTTACCCTATATGCTAAAAATTCACTATTTCCTTAAAACCACTGTAAATGTTGTCACTAACAAGTACTTTCTTAAGAAAGTGTACGATAGCACGTGACGCACTAAAAGCGATGCACCTACGGTTGCAGTCTTGCAGTGACGTCGGTCAGTTTATTGCCTATAAATATCAGGCGTTAAAAAAAAAAAAAAAGTAGGTTGCCCACGCGAGCAGAGGGCTACGCGAGTTTAACGGCCTCTCGTTGTACGCATCTATATGGCTTTGCAAGCTATTACTGGCATACCGTTGATGAAACGCGTATACTACACTTCAGGCAGAGAAAATATAAATAACGAAATTACAAAATTTCGTTATTTAACCTCGAATTAACATCGGACGATTTCTACACCTCGAATTTTAATTAGGAGAATACATAATTACAGAGACGTCTCCAAATTTAACGAATTCGAGAGGTGTATGAGGTTAACTCGTAAAATCCAAATGGCGCGAATCGCTGAAATTTTCATCGGCGGCGTCGTGTTATTTCGCAAAAATGAATAGGCCACTCAAGCCGCTGCGAATAAATTTGCATGCAATTGCGATCGGTATAGGCAAAAGGCGAAGTCGGTCGCTGCATTCGCGCGGCGCGGCGCGACGGGGCGTAATTCGTATTTTATACACGTAATCGTGGTGGCTTGGGAGTCCGCGCGTACGTAGGTACATACGTATGCGTGCGCCCGCCCTCTTATCTGCCCACGTTGATGCGAGACGGCGTTAACGCGTTATACCCCAAGCCGTCAGCGGCTCGTAGCGAGAGGCATCTTGATTGCGATAGGCGAGAGATGCCGCGTGCATTACGCTCC